ACCGGACAAGCATTACAGATCGAGAAGGGAGCAAGTTGGAGGAGATCCCATCCTCTGTGGCATTGACACTTAAAGCACAGTCAGACCTTTTTCTTCTTATGAAAGGTGGGTGCGAATTAGAATGGAAGAAAGAACAGTAAGAGCAGTTAACCACGAAATGAACTAAAAATTTAGATTTGTTCTCCCCCTAAATTGAGGGCAAGAGAAAAAAGAAACTGACTTTTGCTTTTAAAGTAACAGCACGGACCATAGCATACATTCTAAAAACGTCATTTCCATCAGTCTGAGGTGGAGGTCAAGAAGAGAACATGAGGCAGAGAGTAAATGCACCTGAGACAGAAGGTGAAGAGATACAGAATTACCACTGTTGCACAGGCACGCTGATGGGAGGGCTGACGTGCAAGAAGGAAAAACTTAATTCTAATTAAAGTACTCACATTTCTTCCCCAACTGCCCCCTTAAGCCCCATGTATGTCTAGTGTCTGCATAACTATTTTACAAATGGTAAGGCACTACACAAATGTACAGCTTTCATATGATTAGCAAATGCCAAGTCTTTACTGAATTTTATAATTCTCACAGAAAATTCCTTTGTCTCACAGCTTTTGAGGGTTCACCCTACTCTCCCCAAAACTAGTTCCTTTGAGTTGAATTCTTCAGGGGTGCCTAGGTGGCTCAGTCGGTTAAGCGTCGACTTCGGCTCAGGTCATGATCTCGCGGTTCATGGGTTTGAGCCCCACGTGGTGTTCTGTGCCGGCAGCTTAGAGCCTAGAGCCTGGAGCCTGTTTTGGATTCTGTTGTTTCCCTCTCTCTGCCCCTCCCCGCTCATGCTCTGTCTCTCTCTGTCTCAAAAATAAACTATAAAAAAATTTTTTTAAATAAAGGAAAAAGAGTTGAATTCTTCAGTCATCATTCTCACACTCTCACATCTCACGTTTGTCACTGGAGACAAAAAATTTGACTTGAAGTTGTGGGGAAATTATGTGATCTCTCAGGTGCCTACTCTTTTTATTTTTTTTATTTTTATTTATTTATTTTTTCTATTTCTAGGAGAGAGAGAGAGAGAGACAGTATGAGCAGGGGAGGGTCAGAGAGAGAGGGAGTCACAGGCTGAAACAGGCTCCAGGCTCTGAGCTGGCAGTCAGCACAGAGCCCAACGTGGGGCTCGAACCCACGAACCGTGAGATCATGACCTAAGCAAAAGTCGGACACTTAACCGACTAAGTCACCCAGGCGCCCCATGGTGCCTACTCTTTTAATTGGTGTCAATAAAAAAATTGTTCAAATTTCTTTCATTTGTAAACTTATCAATAGCATTAACATGTTTGAAGTCACAGATTTTATATAAAAACCAACACAAAATATATTTTAAATGTCTGAGATTTTCTTAGCATGTACTATTAATGTTATCACTTCTTTCATGTCTTCCCTGACCACTTGATAAAAATACCCCCTACATGTGATCACCAGTCTTTCCCATGCCCCTTACTTTGTTTCATTTCTCTATAGAACTTACCACTGTCTGACATACACATACTTAAGTGTTTATTTGCCCCACCAATGCCCTCCCTCCCCTGCCCCAGAATAAATGTCATGAGGATTATGATATTCTGTTTCCACAGTTCCTTGAACAGTTCTGAGCACACGGTATGCACCCCAAAAGATAGAATTTCTTAAATGAACCTAGAGATTATAAACTCTTAGGTTATAGGTAAGAAAACAACTCCATGAATCTGGAGGTGAAAAGGAACCTAAGCAGAGAAGAGATGATACAAAGTCCATACAACTGATGCCCTATTGCATAGTAACTAAGAACACAGGCTTTGAACTTGGACAAAGCTGGATTCTAGTCCACTTATTAGTAGTGACTTCATGGGCAAATCAACCTCTCCGTATAAAATTTACCTAATATAATGTAAGGATCATAATAGCACCAACTTAATATCATTATTAAAGTGATTAAAAGTGTGTTAAAATCCTTACACAGCAGCAAGTAAACACTTAATAAAAGGGAGCTAGCATTATTATCATTTCACTCAGGTTTCATAGCCTAATATTTTCCCTCAAATTCCTGGTAAGACTGGCTATCTAGCTGCTAAGTCCACATGGCTGAGAAGTGGCAGCTTAGAGGGAGAAAGCAGTTGCCAAAAGTGAGAGCAACAGAAGGACGGCATGAAAATGAGAGTTTTCCTCAGGCACTGCGGTACCCACAGTACTCATGACTGCGGTACACACAGTACTGATGTCCATGGGGGTCGTGGGCAGCCACTAAGGAAAAGGTGACATTACATTTCATACATTCTTTTAAGATGAGAAGAAAATATAATTCTAAAATTAATAAGATTTACTTCAAAATGGTTTACACAAATTTTCCGTGTAAAAGATAAACTTCCATCCCCTTCAAAATTCACCTCCTACAGAAAAGGAGTAAATGAGGCCTTACTCTACAGAAGGCTTGGATATCTCTGCTGTAAAGACCCACTGGTGTGATTTATAACGATCTCTCTAATGCTATTTTTGACATCCTATTAAAGATCAAATTGTCTCAATATAGGATCATTCTTCTCTCATAATCTGTAATGGATCTCCAGAATGGATTTCAGGGAGGCGGTAAATAGTTTCATTTCACTGTGTCAGGGACACTGCTATAACCCTGTAAAAAACAAATTTGTATTTATTAATTCTATTTTCTTTAGTGACAGATTGACTAACCAGGGCCCTCCCTCAGAGATTAGGAAGAAAATAAAATTTCAAAATCAAAACCACATTCCAAATTTCTTAAAAGATATTTTTTGTTCAATTCCTTTGTAAAAACATTGGTCACCATTTAACATACAGTGGCAATAAAACGCACCCAGTTTACATGCATCAACAGGTCAATAAATCGTAATACACAGACAACATGATTTTCAAACAAACAGTACTGAAGTAGCTCATGTTCCATTTAACTATACTTATGGTGCTTCCAACAAAGAGCTAATATGAGAAATAAGATTCCAGTTTCAGTCTGAAATAAGGTTATCTGCGACAAGTACCATGAAACAATGATTTTATGACGTCATTATCTTAAAGGGAACCATTTTTCAGAAGCCACTTTGTGCAAAGCGCCAATACTCGCATAGACTAAGATCTTGAAAAGATGTGTAGTTAAGGACAAATGGGCCCCATTTTTTGAAAATTGATTATCTGAATGATTCAAATTTTTATTATGTCCATAAATTAAAATATATATATCCTTCTTTCAACATGAAGGATATACACATATATACTATGTTTTGACACCTTAAATAATTCTGCAGACACTCAGCTAAACTGAAAGCATCTGTAGGACTACTTTCAAGAGCAAAAACTGGAAACCAGTAATGAAAAGCCCTTTCTGTACTCACAGGCAAGGTTTCTGGATATGGGATTTAATTAATAAGAGGAAAATTTAAGCACCACAATAAAATACTTTTCAGAAAACAGAAAGGACTGGCAATATACAAGCACTTAAATGTTTACCCTCGCCCCTCAAAATTGTTTAAATAAGCACTCGAATCCTATCAGCTAAAGTAATAAATTCTTTTTGGGGTGTGTGTGTAGCACTAGGTGGAAGATAAAATGACAATTCTGTTTAAGGAGGCAACTTTTGTAATTCTCATTTGATCAAATGAGACTGCTGTATTATTTGTGCATAATAAGAATGTTATATATTTATTTTTATATTATATGACTTATTTTCTTCTTGTCTCTCAAAAATCTATGACTAAAGGATAGCTTTAAATTATTTTGAAAATCACAGAGCATAATTTGTGACAAACTGCCTTGTGGGAAAAAAGAGCCCCTCTGAAAATAAGAGGTCAAAGTAAATATGTGCAAATAAAACTTCAAAATAAGGTAGCTGTAAGTACAGCCATCTTAGAAGTTTCTCTTCTTTTGTATCTTTTTAGCAATATAAATAATTCCAGTAGCCCAAACAGTAATTTTAACTTCAGTTTTTCTCCTCCATGATGTGTTTACTCTTACAAGTAAGAGTAATTTTTTAGCATATGTTACAGACCATATGCTAACAAACTTAAAGTTTCATAAAATTAAAATTTATGATTCATACATAGTTATACTATATATGTCAGATATGGAAGGCTGAACATAAGTAATTTCAACCTAGAATATTACTTGAACATCACAAAAGAAAAAAGACAAAAAAAAAAAGATTTCTCCTCACATAACTTTTGACTACTAGACTATTCATAGCAAAAAAGCAAAATATAAAATATAGTTTTCAGCTTAAAGTGAGTTATCCAGAAATAAAATTCACTAAATGAGATAAGACATCATGATTATGAGTATGGAGTACTCAGATTCATTCAAATCAGATGAGAAGACACTTTGGGGAAAAAGAAATTCATCCGAAACAATATGATTTGTATCCCATTAACCCTCTAAACACCACAACTTCACCGCTTATACCATAAGCCTTCTCTGAAGTTCCCATTTTCTTCTTCTCTAAAAAAAGGTTTTAGCCTCTTAATTTCCAAGTGTCATGTCAAACTCCTTATTTTACCTAATTCCATACTCCTCACTTATAAAAGACCCTAAAATAATCATTTTCTTCCCCTAAGGAGTTAGAAACTACCATGTAATGATTCAAAATTGAGACATTAAAGATAAAAAAAAAATCAATTGAAAATACACTTATTAACATTTATGGTTTTATGTAATAAGGACACCACATAATTACTCATTCTGATTAACCTCTGGCTCTTGTGACAGTGAGGTGTGAAAATTAAAATGAGGGGCGCCTGGGTGGCTTAGTCGGTTAAGCGTCCGACTTTCGCTTGGGTCATGATCTCGCGGTTCGTGGGTTCGGGCCCCGCGTCGGGCTCTGTGCTGACTGCCAGCTCAGAGCCTGGAGCCTGTTTCAGTCTGTGACTCCCTCTCTCTCTGACCCTCCCCTGCTCACACTGTCTCTCTCTCTCCTAGAAATAAATAAAAACATTAAAAAAAAAAAAAAAGAAAATTAAAATGAGTAATAGATACTTAAAATACTTGAAGTGTGCGTCTATCTTTAATAGAAGGAGTTAAAAAGGTGACTGGAATTTATGATTGCAAGTGTTTACTGTAAAACAGTACAAAATTGATGTTGCCAAATAGAGTAAAAAGAAAAACCTTTAACTTATGGTAAACATCTTAAGTAATTGGGAAAAAAGTCTCAAGGTTTGATTGTAAGTAGAGAACAACAGCCACAACAGAAGACCCTTTCATGCATGCACACACATGAAATAACAAATAGGCAAACCCCAACTCAGTACAGTACATCAAGGACTGATACTTAAATGATATATAAAGAAAAAGGTAAAATGTTGACTGCCATTGATGAAAAAGGATTTCAACAATTTACACAAAATGATACTAAACATTTTTTTAAAAAGATGTCCTAAGAAAACCAAGCCACAATAAGTTAGTGTTTTCCATAATCATGCTGAATTATTTGATCCCATATCTATACACTGTTATTGTCTTAATTCCTAAATGTTGTGACAGCATATTTAGTAATTGAGGTACATTAGTTTACATCTTTTTATAGATATTCTAAGAGGGTTAATTTTTCTTTTCCAGTTTTTCATCTTCTTCACCTCCTCCAAAGAAAAGCAAAGGAAACATTCCTAGAATGCAGCCAATAGTCACCCCAACAGCTTTGCCCTAAGGAAACAAAAGAAAACATTTTTGAAAGTTATTTTATCCCTAAAAGAAGAACCCTTGCCTAAGTATCTATGATAAACAATTACTATGTATTGTAAAATTAAACTATAATTGCATTTCTTTTGACCACAATAACTTAAATATAAAATAAGGCACATATGGGGTGCCTGAGTGATTCAGTTGGTTGAGCGCCTGACTTGATTTCAGCTTGGGTCATGATCTTGAGGTTTGTAAGATCGAGCCCCACATTGGGCTCTGCCCTGACAGCATGGAGCCTGCCTGGGAATTCTCTCTCCCTTTCTCTCTGCTCCCCCCTAACTTATGCTCTCTTTCTCTCAAAATAAATGAATAAGCATTTTTTTTCAAAAGTAAGCCACACATGACAAAGGAGGTAAGAATACGCAATGGGGAAAGGACAGTTTCATAAACGGTGCTGGGAAAACGGTCAGCTACATGCAAAAGAAAGAAACTGGATCAATTTCTTACATCATATACAAAAATAAACTCAAAATGGATTAAAGACCTAAATATTAGACCTGAAACCATAAAAATCCTAAAAGAAAACATAGGCAGTAATCTCTTGGATATCAGTCTTAGCAACATTTTTCTGAATCTGTCTCCTCTCAGACAAGAAAAAAACAAACGGAAAAAACACGCAATTAAGGACTACTTCAAACTAAAAAGATTTTGCACAGCAAAGGAAACCATTAACAAATGACAAAGCAATCTACTGAATGGGGGAAAATATCTACAAATGATATAACCAATAAGGGGTTAATATTCAAAATATATATATAATTCCTATAACCTAACACCAAAAATAAAAAACCCAAAATGATTTAAAAATGGACAGAGCACCTGAACAGACAATTCTCCAAAGAAGACATACAGATGGCCAACACAAGAAAAACTGCTCAACACTACTCATCACCAGGGAAATGCAAATCAAAACCACAATGACATATCACCTCACACTTGTCAGAATGGCTAAAATCAAAACCACCAGAGACAAGCATTGGGAAAGATGTGGAGAAAAAGAAACCCTCCTGCACTACTGTAGGCATGCAAACTGGTGCAGCCACTCTGGCAACTAGTATGGAGGTTGCTCAAAAAATTAAAAATAGAATTATTATATGATCCAGTAATTGCACTACTAGGTATTTACTCAAAGAATACAAAAATACTAATTCAAAAGAATATATGCACCCCTATGTTTAATGCAACACTATTTACAATAGTCAAACTATGGAAGCAGCCCAAGGGTCTGCTGATAGACGAATGGATAAAGAAGATGTGTGTGTGTGTTTATACTGAAATATCATTCGGCCATAAAAAGGATGAAATCTTGCCATTTGCAACAACATGGATGGAGCAAGAGAGTATAATGCTAAGCAAAATAAGTCAGAGAAAGACAAATACCATTTCACTCATATGTGAAATTTAAGAATCAAAGCAAACAAAGGGGAAAAAAGAGACAAACCTTAAAACAGACTCTTAACTATAGAGAACAGAGGATTACCAGATGGTAGGTGGGTGAGGGAATGGGTAAAATAGGTGAAGAAGATTCAGGGCACATGCATCGTGAGGAGCATGGAGTAATGTATAGAATTGTTGCATCAAAGGGGAGCCTGGGTGGCTCAGTAGTTAAGTGTCCAACTCTGGCTCAGGTCATGTTCTTGCAATTTGTGAGTTTGAGCTCTGCGTCAGGCTCTGTGCTAACAGCTCAGAGCCTGGAACCTGCTTCGAATTCTGTGTCTCCCTCTCTCTCTCTCTGCCCCTCCCCCACTCACATTCTGTCTTTCTCAAAAATAAATAAAAACATTTTTTAAAAAAAGAATTGCCGCATGACTATACTGCACACGTGAAACTAATATGACACTGTATGTTAATTATACAAAATTTTTAAAAAGTCAAGAAATAACAAATATTGATGAGGATGTGGAGATAAGAAACCCTTGTGCACTACTGGTGGGAATGTATACGGTGCAGCCACTATGGAAAACAGAATGAAACTTCCTCAAAAAATTAAAAATAAAAATACCACGTGATCCACTAATTCCACTTCTGGGCATTTACTCAAAGAAAATAAAAACATGAATTCGAAAACATATATGCACCTCTATGTTTAATGCAGCATTATTTACAATGGCCAAGATATGGAAGTAACCTAAGTGTCCACTGACAGATGAATGGATCAAGAAGATGTAGTATGTGTGTATGTGTGTGCATGCACACATACACACACACGCATGTGGATGTATGTGTATACATACATGTATATGTGTGTATATGTATATGCATTTGTATACTTGCATATGTGTAAGTATGCACATGCACACACACACATACACAATGTAGTATTACTCATAAAAAAAGAATGAAATCTTGCCATTCATGACAATGCAGATGGATCTAGAGGGTATTATGCTTAGTGAAAATAAGTCAAAAGGAAAAAGACTAGTAACATATAATTTCACTTACACATGGATTCTAAAAAGCAAAACAAAACAAACAAAAAACAGAAATAGACTCATAAATACAGAACACAAAGCGGTGATTGCCAGAGAGGAGTGGTGGGGGAGAGGTGAAATAGGTAAAGGGCCCTAAGAGGTACAAATTTCTAATGACAAAATAAGTAAGTCATGAGGAAGGAAAGTACAGCATAGGAAATATAGTAAAAAATATTATAACTTTGTATAGTGACAAATGGTAACTATACTTATTGTTTTGTAATGTACATAATTGTTGAATCACTATGTTGCACACCTGAAATATATGTCAACTATACTTCAATTAAAAAATAATAAGCTACAAAAAGGTTCTAGAACAAGTAATATTTGAAGTTCAATACAACTAGGAAAGTTTTTTTTAACTCTCCATGAAATAACAACAAGGAAATACTCAAGTAGAAAAACACTGCTTAGAAACTGTACAAATACTTTAATGTCTGAAGATAGGAAGATAGGGGAAAAAACCTCACCAAATACTCTCAATAGATTTGAATTTGCTCCTTTTTGTATATATTCCTTTTTTATGTTTATCCCCATATATACCTAATTATATGTAGGTCTAACCATTATGGAAACAGCTTTGTGTTCTGCCTCGCCCCTAACAGCCACACATGTTATAGAAGCTCTTTTCCAAACTGTTTCATAAACTTAATATAAAAACTTCTAAATTCCCCTAAATTGATGGCCCATAATCTGCTTAAAGCTCTCCTTATACCATTAAAAATCATTGCTATTTTTCACCATTATAAGTGATAATACAATAAACATTTCTGTCTATAGTTCTTCCCTAATGATTTATTTAAAGTCAAATAGTATGAATACCTGTGCATATTCATAGGGTAATGAAGGTCATGCTGTCTCTTCTGGACAAAATTGACTACAAATTCATATATACCAGCTGAAATACAACTGACCCTTGAAAGACACTGGTTTGAACTGTGTGGGTCTACTGATATGGGGGTTTTCACAGCACAGTACCATAAGTGTATTTTCTCTTCCTCATGATTTTCTTAGCAACATTTTTTTCTCTGGCTTACTTTATTGTAAGGATACAGTATATAAGACACAAAACAGGTGTTAATCAACCGTATATGTTATTGGTAAGGGCTCCAGTTAACAGTAAACTATTAGTAGTTAAGTTTTTAAGTCAAAAGTTATACGTGGATTTTCAACTGCATGGGGAGTTGGGATCCCTAACCCCTGTGTTGTTCAAGGGTCAACTGTATATGTATATATACACCAATTTTTCTACAACCATACCTACATTATGAACATTTTAAATTTTTACTTTTGTAAATAATTTTTTAAATTTGCATTTCTATGAGGACCATCAAGGTCAAATACTTTTCAATTAAGTTTCATTTCTTCATGCAAACATTTACTGCGAATCTACTATATGCCAAATTCTGTGTTAGGTACCAATGAGACAAAGACTAATTAGATGCAGTCTGTCTCTCTCTTCTAGGAACTTCCCGTTAGTTATACAAAGAAAACCAAAGAAATAAAGTAAGTTCTATCAAACATTACAGGTATATGATAGCTACCTAATCCACAGTCTTGAGTAAAATAAAACACATTTTTCCTATACAATGTCCCTTTATCTATCAGACCCTACATTTTTCTAATAAATTTCAAGTGTAGACACTAATGTTTTGACAAAGATCTTGCATAAAAATTTTCAAGTCTATTATTTTTTTGGGTTTGTTGGTGGTAGTAGTGACAGTGGTGGTGGTAGTAGGTCCATGCTTTATATTAATAAATTTATCACTTTCATCACGCCAAAAGTAGAAAAGTATCAGTGCTAGAGAGTTTTAATAAGCAGAAATTTTCTTCATTCCTGATGCTGAAAAAGTTAATCCTAGACTCTTATTCTGAAGTTTGTATTCATTTATATTTACTTATTCATATTTACTTATATACACATGGAATGTATTTTATTTTAGATTCCTGACTTCCCCAAACACGTGAAATGACCATTGCCAACAGGCTCCATGTCCACTTCCCACCTATTTGTTAGAATGCTTGTTACTGTTGTCTGTGGAAACCTAGCCTTTCCTCTCCATTTAAGTTCCAACCCATCATCTCAATGGGGCATAAAGTCAATAGGGCAGAGAGGCAGGAAAACAGTGGGATATCCTTTTCTGGCTCCATGATTCAGGAAACATTTTTTCCACGGAACAATCAGTTAATGAGGCACCTGGGTCGCTTAGTCAGCTTAAGCATCGACTTCGGCTCAAGTCATGATCTTGCAGTTTGTGAGTTTGAGCGCCATGTCGGGCCCTGTGCTGACAGCTCAGAGCCTGGAGCCTGTTTGAGATTCTGTGTCTCCCTCTCTCTCTGCCCCTCCCCTGCTTGTGCTCTGTCTTTCTCTCTCAAATATAAATAAACATTAAAAGAAAAAGAAAAGAAAAATCAGTTACTTATATATTATTATCAGGTTTTATGACAGTCTAGGCCCTATAATTAACTACACTGGGGCTAATCTAAGAACTTGAGTACATCTTGTAATATGGTTCTACAAGAGAATGTTTTCTGAGTTTCAAATAGCCAAATCATAAATGAGGTTTTAAAACAGACAGCCTATATGAATAGGAACCTGCATGTGTATTTGCATATATTCTATTACGAGTAAATGTCAGAGTTAGCTTATGTCATTAATAAATTGCTGATCAATAACTTAAATTCCTTTAGGCTGTTTGTTGAACAAATGTTACAGAGTAGATTTTACCCTAACAGAAAATAAGCAGAGTCAACAACTAAAGAAGAGAATCACTGGTGGAAGATTTATCAAAATACACAAACACACAAAATATATATATAAATCCTGGTTTAGTAAGTGAGGTACTTTTATAGTAGAAGAGGAGAATGGATCTATTTATAATACAGAAAAAAACAGAATTATTATGTGAGAAGAAACTCCAGGAAAATAATCTTGATCCCAACTGTATTGCTAAAATGTTAACCAAAATTGCTAGAATGTTAGAATATCCCGATTCCTCAACAATGCTGGCTGATACTAGCCAGCTAGTCTCACTTCAATTTATCTAAAAATTGCAGGATATAGACACACAGATGATTTTTTACAGAACTAGGTCTAAGGAGGAGGCTGAGCTATGCATTTCTAACAAGTGGTCAGGTAACGTCCCCGCTGGCCCTGGCACCACACCTGGGGAAGCGGTGCCCTGTCGAATCTTACTTCCCCCACGGTTTTACCTATCACCTTTTCAGTGCAGCCCACAGCGACCTTCCTACCTACTCCTGCAATCTGTCTCCATCCCAGCACTCCCAACCTCTTTTACCCTGCGCTTTTTAAAATTCCTATGACATTTGCAAACTTCTAATACATTAAACATTTTGTCAGTTTTATTGTCTTCTCTCCACTGCTGGAATGTAAGATCTCTGAGAAAAAAAGATCTTGTTTTGTCAACCAATATATTCAAAACTCCTACATATGTACTGGGGATATATAGTAGGTAAACAATAAATATTTGTTGAATAAATGATTGAGAATACTCATCATCTCTAATTCAAGATCTCTCCAACTCTAAACTTTTAATCTAAATGCCTACTCAGCATCATCACTTCAATGTCCTATTAGTCTCAAATTCAACTTATTGAAAACAGAACTCATTACCTTGCCTTACTAACTTGTTCCTCCTCCTTTTTGTCTTGACTTAGTGACATTAGGATCCATTCAGTTTCCGTCCTATTTAAAATTCGTCACTAGTTCTCCATCACCTAGGTATGAGGTTCAAGCTCCTTAGCATAGCTTATACAATGTCTTTCCTGTCTGATCCATTTTTCACTTCTCCAATACTGTTTTTCTACTGCTGCTTCTATTCTCACCTACTACTTATTATAGTCAAGTAATGCCTAATTTTTTGTATTTCTCTGATCATACCCTGTTTTTATCATGCCTTTCTACTTGTTAGTCAATGTACTTGGAATTCTCTTGTTCACCTAGTAAATGTCTCATCAATAATTCAAAGATCAGCTTAGATCCAATAACTGCCAAGAAATCTTCCCACCAAAAAAATTCTTCCCCACAAAATATTAATTCTTACTTATGCTATTGCTATTTCTAGTGCATAATTCTATAATTGTGTATGTCACACCAAATTATAGTTTGTTTACATGTTTGGTTGCTTACCTAAACAATTCGTAAAAATAAGTACAGTTTATATTCATTTTCTGTCCTTCAGTTTCTAGCACATAAGACATATTCTTTAACAGTAATCGAATCATGTAAAGAATACTTTAAAACTTAGTTACACTATAAAAAATAGTTAATACAAAATTACTATTCTTCTGAAAACTGCCAAAACTTACACAATTTTTGTTAAAAACTCCACTCAGACAAACAAAAACAAAAACAAAAACAACCACCTCCCCTCAAATAAATTTTGTCTGAAATTTCTCAGAGGACCAAACTATACAATGTCTTGATCTAGCTACCTGAATTCATTATCACAAACCATATAAAGTACTTACAAAATGTGTACTAACACGTGTTTGCCACATGTCCACTTGTTTTGGTGTAAGATCAGGAATTGACAAGCCTAATCTGGAAGCCAAAGCTTCAACATAGCCTGCAAGTCTTTAAAAAAACAGGACAGAATATAAGTTTTTAAAGAGACACACAAATGTCCTCAAGATAATGAACTAGTTACTACAAACAAAAACAAAAACAAGATAACTTTACACCTGTTAACTGGCACTCCAGAAATGTTTTTGACAACTTCCATTTTTATTGTGCATAAATATATTGTGCATTTAGATATCTAAATATCTATTTAAAAATATTTAGTATTAATATATTTGATACACAAGTAAGCAAGTTGACTTAGAGCAATTATTCTCCACAATTACTTTAAAAAGACCAATTCAAAGTATATAAAAACTTTTGCAACAATTAACAGTTATGTGCTTATTCCAAATTCAAAGCATTTTAATGTATGGTATCAATTAATAACTATTCACCAGAAAGCAAAAATTTCCAAAATTTATCAGATTGATACACTAAGAAAAACAGTCTTGAATTTTCAAGGCCATCTCAAGTATTTATCAAGTCTATTTTCCCATCATTTATTGGATACAAACTTACTTTATGAACTGTAAGAAAAAAAGAATTGCCAATTAAACTATGCATACATCAATTTTAAGATGGGTCCCAATACCAGGTACGTTAAGTTCTAAAAAGAACTGTGTATCTAAGAATCAATAAAATGTAGTATTTGTTATTTAATGATATTTTTTAAAGGCAGAGGAGAAATAGTTCTTAAATAGAAAGACTCCCAACAAAATCTTTATCTCTAATCAAAAATAACTGTTTCATGATGCAATCTAAAATTAAATAGCCTTAAATTCTATTAGATCATTTGGTTCTATTAAATATAAAAAGCTATCACAGGAACTCTAATATTACCATTGTTAACATTAATGTTGGAAACAGAGAAATGGAAATGTGTAAGGGGTGATATCATTATATATTAATGTCACAAATCCCAGGAATATAAAATGGCCTAGAAGCAAAGAAACTGTAAATCTTTTTAACAGTAGCTTTGGCCCCAAACTCCAGTACAGAAGTCTAATATATAGGGTCAGATCACTTATGAAGCTGCCTTTTCTGAAATTATAGGGCTAAGTAGACTTCCACTAGAACCAAATCGAAATCTCAAACCTTACCACTCTAATAAACCAAGAAAGGAAGAAACAGAGCCAAAGACTGAGCAAAAGAGAATATGTTTATCACAGTAATTAATGCCAACTTAGTCTAATTTATAATTTCCAGGCTTCCTCTAGCTCAAGAGGCAGCCCAGACCATGTGTTGCTCAGAAGAGAGAATGTAAAGTGAGAAAGAGAAAAAGCTGGCCTTTTCTAAGCAGACATCCTCATTTTGTTCCATCATTCCTGCCAATGAAATAAGGAGAGCAAAAGCTGGCCAAACCCATGTAATGCTCTCTGGCCATTCCCACGTGTGCTCCTGCCATTATGCCTTTTGAAAGTTCCTCTCGCCAGAAAACATGCCCAGTCAGTATCCTCACATTTGAGCCATATCTTTTATCTTTGGGCTTAGTGAGAGAAGAGTAGGGTGAAATAATGATGGGGATTCTTGCTATTAATCCTGCCTCATGCTGGAAATGTCTATAACATACATATAAATACCTCAGTAAGTAAAAATTAAGCTGTGCTTACATTTTGGTCGTTTTAGAAATCTTTTTTGCATGTATCAATCTCTTGAAAGGATTTAAACACAAATTCCAGGTTCTTACACCCAGAGATACTAATTCTGAGGTGTAACACTGACATTCCATATTTGATGTACACCAAAGATTTAGCACTTATTGATTTAGGAAAAAAATAAATTTAAAACTTTAGTTTGAAAGCACACACAATAAATATCCCATTTCTTAATCCCTCTCAATTAAAGAATAGAGAATAGAAAGAGAGCAAGCTCAGTACACACAGGCACAAATGAATAAATAAATGGACCTACCCGAGTCCAGCTAAATCTGACACAAGATTTCCCAAAGCAGCAGCTAGAAAATTGAGAAGTAGGTAAGTGAATTGTCAGATAGGAACCAGCAAAATCATTCTGATACATCACTATATCATCAGTAAAGAACTGATCTGAGTTATCACAGTTTCTGAAACTATAACAACTACATCCAAAGTAACTCACTGAATACCTTTGAATCAAGATTTCAAATAGAACACAAGTCTCCTGAGATTATAGTATTGTATTTCCATCAAATAATAGATTTTTCTATTATCGCAGCCAGTTTCAATTTTGGTGTCAATACCTATAAAGTATTTTGTAGTTTTATCTTTCATTATATTTAAGGAAATTTGGATATTTGAAAGTTGAAGTTGTTGTTGTTGTTGTTGGTTTTGAGAGCGACAGAGAGCAAGCAGGGGAGGGGCAGAGAGAGAGAGAGAAGGAGAGACAGAGGTAGAATCTGAAGCAGGTTTCAGGCTCTGAGCTGTCAGCACAGAGCCCAATGCAGGGCTCAAACTCACAAACCATAAAATCATGACCTGAGCTGAAGTCAGACGCCTAACCGACTGAGCCACCCAGGTGCCCTTAGAGTAAAGTTTTACGCATAGGTCCGAAATTCAAGAAAATCATATAGAGAAGAAATGTCTCTTTTATTAACCCATCTACTACCTACTTTCAACACAATAAACACAACACTGAACCATTCCCAAATTTCACCATCATAAAAAAATAGAGTAGTAACTGGCAGAAAGAAGGTAATAGAACCGAATTAGATTTTCAAATTTGTATTTCCTTCTCCAATTTTTCTACCCTTGAAAATAAATAACTTACCAGAAATAAGGGTAAAAAGTTTTTAGGATAATGCTGAATTAAGACAAAAACTTATTGAGGCACCTGGGTGGCTCAACTAGTTAGGCAGGTGACTTGATTTCAGCTCAGGTCATGATCTCAAGGTTTGTGAGTTCAAGACCCACAAACCTTTGGCTACAAAACCCAAGCTTTGGCTCCTCTGTCTCCCTCTCTGCCCTTCCCCAACTTATGCTGGTTCTCTCTCTAAAAATTAATAAACTTTTTTTAATTAAAAAAAAAAGAGAAAAACTTATTTTAATGTAGTCAGTACAGCATTGTTACCCATTAGCTAACATAAAGTACCTAAAATTTCTCAGGAAAAGTACAACATATACAAAAGTAACAGAAGAATAGTGTTAAGGAGACATCTCAATGAGTAAACCTATTCAGGTTAAGTATCTGCTTCTAGACCTAACCGACTGGAACGTTTTATAAGTATACAAACAATGGGATAATAATAGTACTATTATTAAGTACCTGCCATAGTTGAAATTCCCAAAATAATTCCAATAGACATCTCAATATGGGTTCCCTGAAAAATGATTATGAAGAAATTAATCTTCAACATGAATGAAGTGACTATAAAAAATAGCAAAGTTAGTAAAAACAGATAAAATAGTTAAACCAACATGTTACTGCAACAAAATTATATACATAAAATATCAAAAAATATTCATATATAATATAGTAATGCACTTAACTAAATATACGCATTCACACAAAAAAAATCGATATCATTTTATTCATTAAAATTAGGCTTTCATAAAAATAATAAAAAATAGCAATAAATAGAACTGTTACACAAAGAACAATGTAATCCATAATTAAAAATCTAGAATTTATATTTTCAAACCACAGAGAAAGATGCTTTAAACCTCTCAGGACACAGGGGCGCCTGGGTAGCATAGCTGGTTAAACATCTGACTCTTGATTTGAGCTCAGGTCATGATTTCACGGTTTTTGAGTTCAAGCCCCACACTGAGCTCTGCACTGACAGCATGAAGCCTGCTTAGAATTCTCTCACACTCTCTCTGCCCCTCCCCCATGTGTCCTCTCTAAATTAAATAAATAAACAAACAAACAAACCTCGTGGAACACAAGGAAGACTAACTCACCTAATTTTAAATTCTGAATGATTTACCATTGTTATTTAGTCTATCAAAAACAGTAAAAAACTAGTTTCTAGGGATCCAAGAGATCAGACTTCAAAATTTATCTTTATATCACTTTGCTCTTTAACCATTAAGTCATGAGGTTACATGATTCATTTATAAGCAACAACAGCTTCTTGTACAATAGAGCCCTAGCAAAATAGCTTTTGCACTGAATTTATTGAGAGTTTTGGACTTTCCACATCCATCCCATTCGGAAGACAAGGACTCGTATTTTTACTTCCATTTTAAACAGAAGAATTAAAATGAAGATTAAACTATTCTAACGGGTCATTACATAGAATACAGAAAAAATCCTACAGTCTATTGTGCTAATTCAGTTCTACTACTGGGGCAATGCTGACATAAGTAGACTTAATTTTCCTCCTGAATACTGATGCTTCAAAATTTCTAAATCATTTTTAGATGTTTATTTATATTTGAGAAAGAGAGAGAGAGACAGTACACAAGCAGTGGAGGGACAGAAAGAGGAGACACAGAATCTGAAACAGGCTCCAGGCTCCAAACTGTCAGCACAGAGGTCAACGGCAGAGCTCAAACTCACAAGCTGTAAGATCATGACCTGAACCAAAGTCAAATGCCTAACTGACAGCCACCCAGGAGCCCCAATAAGTTTTAAAATCTCATTGACAGTTACGGAGAAAAAAAAGAACCACCTATTTGGTAAAGTAGAAATACTGCATTAATTAATTATTTATAAAACTGAAGAGAAGCTGAGTCAAGTTTTCCTCAGTTTTCTCTTCCCTAGGCCTTTTGGTTTAAAATACAATTCTTGGGGCACCTGGGCGTCTGACTTCGGCTCAGGTCATGATCTCACAGCTTGTGGGTTCGAGCCCCACGTCAGGCTCTGTGCTTGCTGACAGCTAGCTCAGAACCTGGAGCCTCCTTCAAATTCTGTGTCTCCCTCTCTCTCTGACCTTCCCCTGCTCATGCTGTCTCTCTCTGTCTCTCAGAAATAAATAAAACGTTAAAAAAAAATTAAAATACAATTCTTCTTAGGGCGTCTAGGTGGCTCAGTCAGTTAATCATCTGACTTCATCTCAGGTCATGATCTCATAGTTCACGAGTTCAAGCCCCGTGTCGGGCTCTGTGCTGATATCTCAGAACCTGGAGCCTGCTTCAGATTGTCTCCCTCTCTTTCTGCCCCTCCCCCACTCACGCTTTGTCTCTCAAAAATAAACAAACATAAAAATAATTTAAAATGTAAAATAAAATAAACTACAATTCTTCTTTAGGGTGCCTGCGTGGCTCAGAGAGTTGATCATCTGACTGGCTCAGGACATGATCTAGCAGTTAAACAAGTTCAAGCTCCGCGTTGGGGTCTATGCTGACAGCTCAGAGCCTAGAGCCTGCTTTGGATTCTGTGTCTCCCTCTCTTTGCCCCTCCCCTGCTCATGCTCGCTCTCTCTCTCTCTCTCTGCCCCTCCCCTGTCTGTATTCTCTCTCTCACTCAAAAATAAGAATAAAAATATTATAAAATAAAAATAAAAAATTATAAAATAAAATTCTTGGATATGGAGAGAACAGCCTGATGCATAAAAGTCTCCCATGCACTAAAACAACAAGGAGAGTTGTAAAGGTACCAAAAAACCCCAGATTTCTGAAGAAAAAAAGAGAACCTGCACAAAGAATAAAAATGTGTATCTTTATATATGGATGCAAAAATAAAAAAACAACCCACAAAGATAACAAAAACCTAGAGCACTAATAGAGAAGAATGGCACCTGATAGGTACAACATAGAAGAAATAAATATAGCATCTTAGGTGGCAGTAAATTATTAGGAACACCCCAAGAAAAATATGTTTGCAATACATCTATTTAAAAAGTATTTAAGCGCTTAATCATTTAGTTAACTTTAAGAAACCTGAAGGACCTCCTAATAATATGAAAGCCTAAAATGAAGTCAAAGAGAGTTTGAGGACAATGGAGTACCACTCTTGACTTTTTCTCATAGTTATATCAAATTTTATGTTAACGAGTACAGAAGAAATTATAAATACATCTAATACTAGTTATCTCAAAATTATATCTGGCTCATCACCTGAATACACTTAAATTGCTCTGGAATTCTAATAAATTCTATTCTAATTAAATTGTAAGAAACATAATCCAAAAACCCCACTAAAATAGAAGTTATAAAAAGCAATACTAATTGCTCTTATAGTATTAGCAATACTAATACAAATATATTTTTGTATTCAAAAATATAATAAAAAACTATGAAACCAAAGGCTGAGTATGAACAGCAGCCAACAATAAAGGTCAAATCTATTACAGGAAATTACATAGGAATTTGTTTTTAATGACTACAGCTAGGAAAGCAACCAAGACAGTACAGCAGGAAAGAGGAAAACATCAAATGTCTGTGGCATGAGAGAAAAGGAGACTCAAATATTTCCTTAACTTAACCACTGTAAAACAATCAAGGCTACCCTCAATGTTCGGAGGCAGTGTTTTTAAAAAATTAAAAGGTGAAAAACATTCTTCAGATAATGATGACCACTATTCTCCCTAATATAGATTCTAGAGTTTACATTACTTACATATTTTAGTTTCAGCAATCTATTATAAAACCTCTTTAGAAACTTTCACTGTCCTGAACTAGTTTGCAATTATCACGGAATAACATTTTGTCACACATAATACTGTTATTGAAGCCAGTGTTTTAAACATTTACTTCAGTATTACATAAGCAAAAACTGGTGTTAAGTCCCTGAAACTGGACTTCAATGTAGACTTCAAGAACAAGTATTACTAACTTGGAGTCAATCATCCGGACCTGGAAAAACAGTTCACTCTCAGTTATACTAATAATGAGACACAGGCCTGAGTAACAGAAAACAGTAAACAACACTACAATAATGACTCTAGAATGTGGGTGTTTTGTTTTGTTGATAGCTCTATTTAGATGCAGATTATCTGTTACTTTAGGTGTTTATTTCAAAGAAATGATAAGAGCACACTGTGAAGGTCTTATTCAGGATCTAAGGAGCTACCCAGTTTCTCCATTCTGACCTCTCTTCAAAATCTCTATTCACCTCTCTTTATATAAAATATATCATCTCAATATGACCTTGTAGCAATAATAGTCTTTCATTATTTGACTATCTAAGGTCTGCCCTATTGAGGTGGAAAAAAACCAAACGAATATGAAGATGGTACTATGGATACTAGCTGTCAATTAAGAGAAACTAAAATACTGAATTGTGTGAAACTAAAAGAAATGTTTGCACAGAGAAGCTTTAATTGAGACAAAGTGTTTAAGAATACATCAAGTCTTAACTACAGCTTATAAATTCATCATAATGGGGTTTTCATGACAATTAGATATGATTTACTATTTATTGACTATTTAAATGATCTAACCAATTCAAATTTTAGTAATCTCAGAAAAAGCAGTGTGGTTCTGGGTTGCTGAATATTCACAGATCTATTCTCACATTCACAGATATATAAATTGGCCACTTTAATTCGTTTATACACATTAGGAAAATGTCATAATCGGTCAAAAAACTAGCATTCCGAAATTATATCTTAGAGAGTCTCGCCAGACCTCTTTGCTAAAGAATTATGCAATGGATGCTTTCACTTTCAAGTAGTGTGCAGGTTACAGTATCTTCTGTGACGATTTAGGTAGCAGGACACCTTCCTGCTGTGTGATACCTGACCACCATTAATCTGGAAATAAGAGGAGACGACCTAATAGTGTAAAAAAAAATTCTTCTTAGATATTCTTTTAAGGATTTTAGATATTCTTTAAGCAAATTGTATAATCTGCACAATGTAAATGATACTTTTAATCCCTGTTTTTAAACCAAATATCCTATTTATGTCCATATGTAGTACATGTGACCTCCAAAACGCTAAAAATAAAAATTAAAAAAACCCTTGCATCTCTTATATGTATTTTCCTCACATTTAATAATCCTAAAATCACTTTTTTTTTTTAACAGTCTCCTACACAACAGCTACCATTTACAGAATTTTTTGAAGTTAGAGTCAAGTGAAGAGAAGTGGAGAGAGCACTGGGCAGTTTTAGAGGACAAATATTTTAATATCTGTCTTTAGAAATTGGGACAATATTGGTATTCATTAATAAAAGATGTTACTCGGTGGTAAGAAAGGAAAATAAGCCTTCTCTGAGATTAAACACTTAAGGAACACTCTTATTACGTCAAAAAGACCACAGCAAAGGGGAGCTATCTGTTAACACTACAATAGAATAAAGACAGAAGGCAGGTATATTTACAGTGTTCTCGACTGAAATTTAAAATACCTTTCGGTTAAATGGAGAGACTGTATATCAAAACACCCCTTAAAACATTTCTACATGGAAAACCTGAACAAAGAACTAACCAAATAACATATACGTTATGAGAACAGTCAATAAAATTAAAGAACATCAGAAAATTTTACATACTTTTTTATTTAACAAGAATGTTGAAACTAGAACATAATAATACAGACCCAATAAATTTGTTTATTACTGTCAATGTTTTGCCTGAAGTCTTAATGATTAATACATATAATGCCTTAAAATTAAATAATCACCTAATTAACATGAAATATAGTAAAACTGGCCTTGTTCATTATGATGTTAATTAAAATTTTATAGCTAGAATCTATAAATCATTGGGAAAATTTAGACTACATTAATTTCTTTATTAACTCAAAATAGAAGCGGTGAAAGAAAGAACTTACTGCAACAATCATAATTGCATTATCCAAAAAGCCAAACCCTATGAAAGGTATCGCATTGTGGATGAATACTGAAAAACACCAAAAACAGAAAATATATATTAAGATTTCTGTAACTTAAATGATAAAAACATACCATATGATTAAACTCTTCTATACAGATCTGATAACTTCTGAAATCTGCTTTTCATTCCCCATAGCCAAATGATTCTGCCTCTGCTATAAGTTCAACTACTTTGTAGAAGCTACAGTAAGGAAAACACCAAAATTTAAAACCATGTAACATGTAAAAGTAATTGTGTTAGACTTCTGGGTTGTTTTCTTACTAGCTACACTTAAAAAGTACATACAGTTAATGGCAGAACAAGTAAGTAAATATACATTATAAGTACCATGTTTTACCTGTAAGCTACAGATATCAATCTATTTCTTATATCTTAAGGACTGATATCATAAAATTAAGCTCCATATTAGAAATAATAAAAAATACCTTGAATCAAATTTCAGGGAAACTATATGGTTGCTTTTACTCACTAAATAATTTTTTGGACAAATGTGAGAAAAATGTCTTTATCTCATCTATATAAGTCATCGATACGCAGTCTTTTCCCCCTCATATTGGTATGCCTGAAAGCTTTCACAAACTATATACCAACTATTTGATTTAAATCAAATGTAATTTGGCCTCATCCTAACAAAAGCACACCTTACCTTAGCTATCCAATACACAATCTGAATGACCTGACATAATACAAGTGTAACTAGGAAGAATACCTATATACTTTTTATACATTTAGCCTCAATTTTTTTCTCATATTTGCATCTTCAGCACGTTGCAGAATGCCTAGTGCGTAGCAGATACTCAATGAACATTAGTTAATTAAGTTGAGGACCACTAACCTGGAAAGGAAGAGAATTCCATATTAAGAGAATTGAAGGCAAACTGTGAAACAGATTAAAAGCTGGGACAGTTAAAAGACTTTATGCTAATTCATCTATAAAATTGCCAAGATATAGTCAACATCAATTCAACTGAGGACTTTTTTAGATAAATATCAAAACTGTGAATTTTATACCGTATCCAAAAATAGTCCCTTAAGCCAATTGGTGTATGTGTTCAGTGACTTTAGAGTGGTTTTTTTCTTTTATTGTGGTTAAGTCCACAGAAAGTATAATTAAAATATAATCTAGAAGTTATGAAAGTTTGATATTGCTATAGTGAGTTTTGCACCAACCCAGGGAAGGCTAATAAGCAGTGAACAAAAAAAAACAAAAAATGCTTCTACCCAAAACAACTATCGAATACTAACATCATAGGAAAAGGGTGCATATACATCCCAGGTTATTTCAGATTTCTTTCTGCTATTAAGTAAGAATGTTCAAGATAAAAAATAGAATTTTTTAATTACAAAAATATTATTTTAAAGGTTATTAAAGATGATAAAAATCAAATCGTGTATTAATGAAATGGGATTTTTCAACTAAAGAGTCTAACCTTAGCTCTTTGATTTTTTGCCTGTCTAGTTACTTAACTACCAGACATCCAAAATTCTGTAACAGGCAACTCTGAAGTATAAAATATAACATGTTTTTATGCTTAGACCTAAATAAACATGTCCTATATATAAAAATTTATTTTCAACACAAAAGAAAAAATACTATTTCCATATTGTTAAATAAACATGTACTGGACACTCCACTGGGTATGAGATACAAAGATAAATAAGACTTGGTTACCAGCCCTCAAGAAGTTATGATAGAGAGTATGATAACACACCATGTAAACAGTTCATTTCAATATTACAGAAAAACTGATAACAGTATTATACTGGGCTATGGATATCAACTGCATGAATCTAGGCTAGGGGAATCAGAAAAAATTACCTGGGGGGAAAAGGTCTTAAAGAATTCTTAAATGGTTTGGTATTTGGGAAACGTTACTTATTTCTAATATAAATTATATTCTACTTCTGAGAGAAAATATAACTAGTTATTAATTTTAAAAAAATTATGTTAGTTTACTCTCTAGTATGTAATGATCTCCTATTAATTTGTAACTTCTTCAGTTTCCTTTGGGAAATACTACTCTATAACAGCAAATCACATCTAATATTTAGCTTTCACTTATAATCTACTCAATTTACTGCACTGTTAAAACATTCTCTTCTTTCACTGTCTCTATAATAAGATCCCAAACTGTTTTACATTATGTCAGTGTTAGCCTTGACTATTTTCATAACCGTAAAGAAAGTACACCAGCACCATTTATAAGCTTCTTCCTGGCAGTGTCAAATGAACTTAACTTTCTTCATCATTACAAACAGCAAGCCTTAAGTATTTTCTCCACCAGAGAACAAATCTACCTAGCTCTGAGCTCAGACTTTCTAGTTCTGAAATTACCCAATTTAAATCCATATTAAAGTAAACAATATCCTTTTTACTGGGAATTAAAGAAACCTTACCATAAGTATAACTTTATTTCTAGATGGTAACTACAGTTTAACAATGTTATATACTATTACAAATATTAAAATTCCATAACATTGTAATATGTCTTAAACCAAGTTTATAAACTTTTTGTTTCGCCATGATAAATAAGATAATCCGCTCTATGTGGAAAAATTAAATTTACTGACTCTTCTATACTATCATTGAATGATGCAGTTGTTTCAAGTCTAAAAGATAGATGAACAAATATTTAACAATTAGAGAACCATTACCATATCTCAGCTGTCCTGGCGTGGGTGGTGCAGCTTCCAATTTTTCTAAAGGGGAACAAAAGGGCTTAGGTCAAGAATTAGTTACCATAGCACGAGTTCCTTTTATTACAATGAGGAAAATACCAGCAGATTTACAAAGTGAGAGGATATCAAAGTTTATTTATAAATTTTTGTAGGTTAACAGACCAAAGTTATCCATAAAGAAAATAATACTTGGTATGGATGAAATTACAAGGCTAGAAAACAAAACTGAACTTTAGTTACAAGTCTTCCATGGACCCTATGGGCCTAGGTAATCATTAGCATTTCATTTTTTTGTTTTTTAAGTCTTTACATCTATATAATGGGCCTGATTAGTTACAGTTAAAAAAAAAAAAAACCTTTGAAATATAGCTACCTTTCTTTAAGAAGGCAATGACAGATGTCTTAAGAAATATATATACAAACAAACATTGATAGCAGAAAAAAGAATATTCAAATAGACCTAGATATCCTTTAAAAAAACAGAAAATAATATCTTTAAAGCAATGTATTTCAATGATGACTTCACTGGATTGTGTTCTGTTCCTTAATCTCTCTTGATAATACATTAAATATTTGGGGTTTTGAACCCTATACTATTGGATAATATAGAATATTTTACACAAGAAAAAGTAGAGTGCTATTCAGAATCACAAGTAATAGTAAACTATTTATAATATATATCATAAAACACACAAAGTTTTCCCAAGTATAAATCAAAGTAATAGCTTTAACTGCAATCATTAAATCTAAAAATTAACAATTATTATAAAGAAGCAACATACCTAACATCTCACCATTTGTGTGAGGACAAGAGTAAGCTCTGGTAAAATGGCAGAGAACCGTACTTTGCCCTCCTCCTGTCCAAAAGAATGAACTGACAGTCTACAGAGAAGAGCCCACACCATGTGTCACGCTGCTCTAAAGGTTTAGTACAACCAGCCTGTCCAAGGAGACACATTAAGAACTGGATATATTTTCTAAAATACTTGTTTATAATCTATGACAACAAAAGAACTGAAGAATTTACTTTTAAAAAAGTAAAAAGCAAATACATCCTCATTGATAAACTATGTAAAAAAGAAGTATTGTTCATATTTGTGAATATTTTACTGAAACTGAATATAGTACCAAAATGGTTATACAATAAGTATGCTAAAACCTTGGGTTTAATCAATTATCGTATTATTCAGAAAGTTCTAAGAATGCAAGTTTAAGTTTTGTTTAACGTTTTTTAGAAGAGTTTTGAAATGAAGATACTAATCTTTGCAGAATTTCCCATCTAATTAAAATATATTGGCTATCCATGGACTAACACCATTACCTCAAAATCTATTTGAAAGCATGCAAATGGTTTTCCAAATTTTAACAGGGAACATAGGATACCACTGTATGCCACAGAGTTTTCTGCTGAAGTAAACATGCAAAAGTGGTTACATACCAGAACTATTTGCTAGATGCATTACTCTCATCATCACTACAGTTCTGACACTGTGAGGAGAAGTCCTTGTCAGTTGACTGGAACATCTTGAAATACCTAAAAATTCAACAAGCAGGACCTTCCCAATAGAATGAGAGTATACAGAGTCCTTGCTTTTACTTCTTCAAATTCCCTACATATTCATAGTGAGTAAAATATTCAAACTGTTTTACAACTTCAAAGAAGAAAGGGTAAGAGGTAGGCAAATGTAAAGGTACAGCAAAGAGCAATCAAATAATATAATCAATATTCCTAATCTCTTTCCTATTACACATAAGGAGTAAAAGATTAAAACTAATTAAAAATATTTTGTAAAGACTGAGAAAAAGAAAGAAATATAAAGTAAAGGAGACAGAGCTGGAAGAAAAACCACTGGCACAGAGATTAAAGTAAAATCAAAGCAGAGACTCTGCCTCCTGCTTCACAAAGAACCTAGTAAGTAGCAAGAGGAAACATGAAAGGAACATTTCCCAGAAAGTGGAAATTTTACTGGAAAGTATCTGTCAAACATGTTTTAAACCATATATTGATCATTTTGAGGACACTGATGCTGTTAATTACCTTCTTTACTATATTAACTATATCAAAACTATATATATCAGAAGTTTATCAGATATATAATCAGAACATTACCAATTCAATGCACTACAGAACTCAATCTTGGAAATTAGCCCAGGCAATCTTATACAGGTTTAAACTGTACTGGCTGCGGGGTGCCTGAGTGGTTCATCTCCACTCAGTTCACAATCTCACGATTCCTGGGATCAACCTCCACATTGGGCTCTGACCGACAGTGTGGAGACTGCTTGGGATTCTTTCACTCTCCTTCTCTCTCTACCCCTCTCCCGTCCTCTGTCTCTGGAAATAAACTTAAAAAACAAAACAACTGTGATCACTGCTAACATACCTCCCTCAAAATGGTCACAATAAACCCCAGAAGCATTGTTTCCCTATGTATGTATCTTAACCTTAAGGATTTTCTTTTTGAGGGGACCTGGGTGGCTCAATCAGTTAAGCAAATAACTCTTGATTTTGGCTCAGGTCTTGATCTCACGGCTTGTGAGACTGAGTCTCACTCTGGGCTCTGGGCTCTGTGCTGTGCCTGCTTGGGATTTCCACCCCCCCCCCCGCCCCTCCCTCCCTCACACTCTCTCTCATAAGAAATAAACTTTAGTATTTTCTTTTGACATATATATGGCAAACTACACTTACATTGGAAATGTATTCTAATTTAATGTTTCATTAAGACGACTCTGGAGTTAGAAAACCTAGTTCTTTCGTTTCAGTGTGTATGTGTGTGTGAATGTGTGTGTGTGTGTGTGTGTGTGTATGTGTGTAACATACACCATTACTTTTTACTTTTCCTGAATATCTTAAAATAATAAGATAATCATTAAGACTGTATTTCACTATATCATATTTTCCAATGATTTTAATGTAAAAAATTCTGATTCTACTTCCACTGCTGGCTTCCTAACCTCCTATGAGACCAATTCTCCTGCAGAGAATATCTATAAACTATAAACAAATATGTAAAAAATATATATAACTACCTAAAAGACCTAGAAAATGTCCAAAAGCAGGTTGATTCTGGAAAGGAATCAACACTTAGAAAAAGAAATAGAACTAAGTGAGTTAGTTGCTTATTGTCTCTTTTGGCCTGAGGGCAGACCTCAACCCACAATATTGGGGCAACTAAAACTCCAACAAAAAATCTTCATTCTTTCTGGCCTGAAGAAGCAGTGACTGGGGTGCAAGGTAACCAAAGCCATTAGAAAGTGAAAGGGGAGTCCTGGAAAGGATAGAGATTGAAAGGAGGAGACCTAAATTCTATATATACAGTCAGTTCAAATATATGGCTGACCTATGAATCACAAATTTGCAGTAAAAACCAAAACAAATCCCAGCTATGGGTAAAATAACTGAAGATTTGAGCAGCACACCTAGATATAGTTTGCAGTATGAGCCTAACCATCAACCGCCTGCTAAAAGAGGCAAGTAAAGAAAAATTGGTATTTTTTAGAAGAATAAAGCACAACCCAGAGTTTCTACAACATGATAATTACAGCAGTGACTAAGATATAATCTAACATTGCTTCACAAACAAAGAAATGGGGGAAAATGACCCATCTTCAGGAGACAAAACAATAGACGGAGTGACTCAAATGTTAGAAGTAGAAATTATATTCAAAAACATAAATGAAGGGGCGCCTGGGTGGCTTAGTCGGTTAAGCGTCCGACTTTCGCTTAGGTCATGATCTCGCGGTTCGTGGGTTCAGGCCCCGTGTCGGGCTCTGTGCTGACTGCCAGCTCAGAGCCTGGAGCCTGTTTCAGTCTGCGACTCCCTCTCTCTCTGACCCTCCCCTGTTCACGCTGTCTCTCTCTCTCTCTCTCTCTCCTAGAAATAAATAAAACATTTAAAAAAAACAAAACAAAACAAAACAAAAACATAAATGAAAACACAGTCAAATAGAAACTACAAAAAGAATCAAACTCCCATGAAAATTATCTGAAATTTAAAAGTTAATTGGATAGGCTTAAAAGCAGAATGAAGAGTGAACATGATAGACCAATAAAAATTACTCATCTGAAGAACAGAAAATAAAAGGATTGAGAAATAATAAATTAGTCTAAGAGACTTACAGCTAAATATCAAAAAGTCAAAACATGTATAACTGGAGTTCCAGAAAGCAGGAAGAAAAAAACCAAAAAATATTTGAATAAATAATGGCTAATAATTTCCCAAATTTGGTGAAAGACAAAAATTTCAAGAGTCATGAAAGTTCAGTGAACCCCTAGTAAAATAAACATGAGGAAAATCAGTAATAGAAAATAATCTTATATAGTCACAAAAAAACCCAACATATTAACTAAAGGAAAATGATTCTTTTTTTTTTTTTTTTTAATTTTTTATTTCTAGGAGAGAGAGAGAGAGAGACAGTGTGAGCAGGGGAGGGTCAGAGAGAGAGGGAGTCGCAGACTGAAACAGGCTCCAGGCTCTGAGCTGGCAGTCAGNTTATGCAAATGACTCATTAAGGTATACTTTGTGTTCCTATTCGCCCTGGAATGAACTGTAAAAATTAAGGGCAAGGAAAATACTAATTTATTTATTTATTTTTTTAAATAAGCTGAATGTATTTATTTATTTATTTATTTTAATTTCATTTCTAGGAGAGAAAGAGAGAGAGACAGCGTGAGCAGGTAGGGTCAGAGAGAGAGGGAGTCGCAGACTGAAACAGGCTCCAGGCTCTGAGCTGGCAGTCAGCACAGAGCCCGATGCGGGGCTCGAACCCACGAACCGCGAGATCATGACCTAAGCGAAAGTCGGACGCTTAACCGACTAAGCCACCCAGGCGCCCCGGAAAATGATTCTTTAAATATGATTCAAGAAGGAAAAAAAAAGCTGTCAGCCCACTATTCTGTATCCAGAAAGATTATCCTTCAAGAATGAAGGCCAACCGTATCAAAGATAAACTAAAACTACGAGAATATGTTGCCAGCCAAGCCGCAATATAGGAAATGTGAAAGCAAGCTCTTCAGACAG